GTAGTATTATTTTAAGCAGACTGTGTTTTTCTATTGTTGTGACTTAGATGAAGTTCAGAGCACATTTTATGACCAATTCATGCAAAACTCCACGTAATCCCAAGGGGTTCACATACTTTTTCTTGCAACTGTATACAGCTTCTCAACCAAAACTTAAAGGTAAATGATTTGGGAAAGAGCATCTTCTAAAATAATATCCTGTTTAGAGAATATTCTCCCTAGGGGTTTTTTTAATCGTTTCGGTTTTTTAAATTTTATTTTTGAATTTACACTATGTATTTCTATTTATTCCAATACTTGAGGGAGATGAATAGAATTATATACAATTATATACAATTATAATTAAAAATAAACAATTAAAAACTTAGCAAAATGTATTTATTCATTTTATTAGTTTTTTAAATACTGTAAGAGTGTAAGCTAAATGCATCTCCTCAGAAAGTGGATTCCATAATGGTTTTTTAAGCCAATCCTTTAAAAAATAGTTTGTTTGGCTTTTCATTATATTTTTATTACAAGTAGTCCTTCACTTACGACTGGTCATTTACAAACCATTCAAAGTTAGGACAATCTGAAAAAAAAGTTACTCATGACCAATCCTCAAAGTTACAACTGCCACATTAGACCCACCTCATGTGAACTCATTAAGGTACTTGGCAACCAGCTCACATTCATGCCGGGCTGCAGCATCCCAATGAAGTGATTATATTTTGCATTTTTTTTGTCATTTTCTGCAAAAACACATATTAGATCATCTGGATTCAGACTTCTAACTATGCAATTCACTTAAAAACTACAATTCTCATAGCAACCATTATAAAAACAACCTTAAAATTGAATCTCGTTACATGATAACTCAACTTAGGGCCAGAAATTTAGGCTCAATTAAGGTTGTAAATCGAGGACTACCTGTACACACTGCTCTCAGAATATTTACACTTAAGAAATTGACCAATAAACAAGTCACAACTAACAAGAATCCATATATGCAAGGTAATATTGCAGCAAATGTATAATCTGAATGGAATCATATTTGATATGGTTCCTATGTATCAAGATGGTAGTGTAATCAGAGGTCCCGATTACGGTACTTAACTGCAGGCTGGAATCTTAATAGTTTTACCTAGAAAATGGAGAAGTCACCACAATAATTGATGGTACGATAAAATCAAGATAAGCTATTTTATATTACTAGTTAGTATATTACCAATCTCTCAAACAAGATTAGCTAGTATCTCTATGGACACAATATAAAGCATTATATTATTATTTTAAATTTCAGTTAAAAGTATAAGCACTCAGGTTAAGGAAATATAAATATTTTTAAAAAATCAAACGAATTGGATGACAAAATGAATATCAAAAAGAGCATGTCTAAACATGATGGAGAATCTTAGATCACTATTTGTAGATTTGTATTTCACCTTTCATTTAGTAGCTCAAGGTGGTATAGATAATATTGCGTACAACAGTAGCTCTTTGATATAGATTGTGCCATGAGTGACAGGCACAAGGTCACTCATGAACCTGTGGCTAAGGGGGGATCAGAATTTGGGTTTCCCTGCTTCAAGTCCAGCACTTTAACCACTACACTATACTTTCCGAATCCTTAAAGGCCATCTTTTCTAGTTACAACTTTCAGATGGATTTCTCAAGCTATAATTCTCATGTTTGAAGAAAACACAGATGGCATTACATTATAATTAATGAAGCTAAGCAAAATAGGCAAAATTGCTTAGCAGTTCCATTTCCATTAGTGTGTACATAATTCTAACTGAATATAACTTATTTGTTTAGATAGATCCATCTATACGATCTTCATTGTCATCCTCAGTGCAACTGTCTACTGTATGCAGAATGCAATATGAGTTGGTCACCAGGATCAGAGGTTTAGCTTTCAAAGTTTTCGGACTTGTGCTGGAGCCCATCCTCAGGAAACTTCTCTTTCTCCAGAATGCGTGTACTATGCATAATATTTATGTGGTGCCTGGTTTTGTGTGGCTTTGAGTTGTTAATTGGGGTGTTGATGGCTGGCTATTAAATCATTGATTGTTGTTTCCTTGTGCTGCTGTGTCCTTGGCTCCTAAGTAATGAATAAACTGGTGGTAAATCTGGACCCTGTTGAGAGGGTCCTGGAGAAAAAACATTATCTGGCTCTTTTCAATCAGATTTAAGGCCAAATCTGCATTGGTTGCACTCATGGTAGTAGTGGGAGGGAGGTTGTGCATCCATCCTTGCTCTCCTTGCTTGACTATGGCATCCTTTAGGGGTGACCTTTGGTGGGGGGGGGGGCGGGTTCACCTCTTTCTTCAGAGGCCAATTCCAATTGGTATTAATAGAGAGTGAGAGATCCAGTTCATGGACTCTCCTTTGTGGGGTGCAGCAGGGCTCGATGCTCCCTCCGCTCCTTTTTAACAGCTACATGAAACCGCTGGGTGAGATCATCCATCACCATAGGATGAGATATCATCAATATGCTGGTGATATCAGGATACATATCTCTGTCCTAGGTGAAGTGAGTGATGCAATGGTTGTCCTTTCGCAGTGCCTGGAGGATATGGGATGTATAACTGGGATATGGCGGGCAACAGACTTCCAACTGAACCCTGTTTAGATGGAGTGGCTGTGGATGGGCGCCCTTATATCGTTTTCATCTTGGGTCTTGGATGCACTACTGCTTACAGACCTGGTCTATAATTTGGGGGACCTCTTAGATTCACAGGACCTGCTCAAAGAGCAGGTAGCAGCTGTGGCCAGGAGTACCTTTCAGTGGTGGGATTAAATTTTTTTTTACTACTGGTTCTGTGGGCGTGGCTTGGCAGGTGTGGCATGGCTTGGCGGGCATGGTAGAGGAAGGATACTGTAAAATCTCCATTCCCTCCCACTCCAGGGGAAGGTTGCTGCAAAATCCCCATTTCCACCTGATCAGCTGGGACTCGAGAGGCAGAGAATAGATGGGGGAGGGGCCAGTCAGAGGTGGTATTTACCGGTTCTCCAAACTACTCAAAATTTCCGCTATCAGTTCTCCAGAACTGGTCAGAACCTGCTGAATACCACCACTAGTACCTTTGCTAAACTCCACACTGTGCACCAGTTATACGTTTCCTGGACAGGAAGGCTCTCTGCTCAGTTACTCATGCCTTGGTGATCTCCTGATTGGACTATTGCAACTTGCTCTACATGGAGATATGGAGCCCCACTTTTTCATTCCGCTCTTTTCACTTTCATTACTACAGTTAATAGATTTCCATTTCTAGCTATCAAAGTACTGTCATTAGCATAGTGCAGGTTATATTTCTTCCAATTTTAAACCCCTGATCATTATTTTCTAATCCAACTTCCTTCAATATGTACTCCACGCATAGGTTGAATAAATAGAATATGCAGCAGCGTGAGCAGTTTGGTGGCCTAGTGGTGAAGACACTCACCTCCCACTTGGAAGGTTGGAAGCTCAATCCTATATAGTGGCAAATGTTTTTCCCTTAGGGTGCAAAGAAAAATTATCTGCTGCAATCTCCACATAGGTGTCAGAAAGCGCATCTGCGCCATGTAGCTGCTCTAGGAACCAGAATATAAATTATGCAAGTAGGTAATAATCTTAATAGGAAACAATATTTAAAGAAGCAGTGATCAGCATTATTAAAGTAAAATTTTGATTTATAAATGTATTTTCATTTATATTTTGGGCCACAGGTTTTTTTTTAAAATTTAGTATGGCTTTTCAGAGTTAAGGTTTGATATTTATTTATTCTATTGTTCCATAATTTAAATTTAAATCAAATTTTATTTAAATTTTAAATAATAGAATGCACATTTCAAATAGGGTCAAAGGCACTACATACCGGTAAATGTTAAGTAAAATAGAATTATCAATTTGAGCAATTTTTTATTTAGATTAGAATTATACAAATTATGGTTTTCTAAGTCTCTCAGACACATTTGAAATACTGATCGACTAATTATTTTCTGTTACCTTGAAAAATTTTGAAATTATTCTGCAACGCTTTGAATACTATTTAATCAGATATCTCCAGAAGGTGGTGCTGTATTATTTGACAAAAAATTCTTCAGAATTCAATCCTTCTCAACAGAAATTAATGCTTACAAATGACACTAGCATAACAAAGGTTTTTTGAGGAACACTTCAACCCTGATATTTTATTTTCAATTAAATTACTTTCCAACCCCCACAAACAAAACCATTTTTGAATAAAATCAAACATTAGTAATTTTTATTACAAACAGAATATTACTGCTGAGAATCAACCCTGAGAATCAAATTTCAGTACCAAAACAGATTGATAAGCAAAGTAGAAAAACAAGTAAAAATTGAGCCAGTTAATATCAGCTGATTACATTCCAATAATCTACTAATGCAGTTTGATCTTATACACAACAGCAAAATTAAATCTAGTCTGAATATAGTACTATAAATGTAAAAATAAAATTCAATAACCACAAGTAGGTATCAACAGCATGAGTCAAATGCCTCTAGAATAATTTTTGCTGCATTTTCTGCAGATATGGTTTATTTGATTTGATTTGATTTGGTATTCTATGGTTGCTGGGAGTTGGGTGGCACATGAATTTAAAAAATTATTATTATGGTTGGTTGCAGTCAGCAAGATGTTTACACTCGATTTGGCATTTTTATTCATCTATCGAGTCCTTCCCAAGGATCTGGGATAGGCAGATGTTGTTGTTTGATGGTTGTTATTACTGAAAAGTAGATTTTGAAGGATTGAGTAGTTTACTATTTGTATGGTTATTGTACAGTATTATTCTTAATGTTTTAATTTTTAAACAGCAAAATGATGTTGATATTGTGATTTAGAAGCATTGGATACAATTAATGCTTGTTCTACATTTAATATAACTAATTTATTATTTCACAGATAAGACAATTATTTTGGAACTTAATGGAACTGCATTTAAGTTCCAATATTGAGTTGTTTCGAACGATAATTTAAAATGGAGGGGGGGGAAAAGATGCCACTCACCTGGAGGGTTTTCATGGTTTGGCATTAATACTACAGCTTCTTTTTCACAACAAACTTCTTCTTCATCAGAAAGAACCAAGAAAGCTTCTTTGGGCAAACTTTCATTGCTTTCATGTTTAGATGGAGAATTTAAAGAATTTGCTACCTTTTCTTCTGAACATAAGCTAGAAGTCTCTACAGGAAGCAGGATGGATTGAGAGAAACAATTTAATGCATTTGCTGGGGCCAGCTTTTCTAAAATTGGAATAATTTCATCTGTTTCCATTCTAGCTGCATTTCCCAACATATTCTCAGTTGGTGGTTCTTCTACAGTTTTCTGAGCCATAGTCTCTACAACATCTGCAGATTTGATTTCATTCTTTGAACCTTCAGTTGTATTCAAACTACTAGATATTGCTTCCTCATCAACGTTCTCTTTTACAACAGCTTCCTCTGCATTATTTTTTTCCTCCATAGATAGTTCAGGAGTAATAGCCAACTCATTTGTTTCTGCTGGTTCTACCATTTGGTCATTAATGTTACTTTCTTCTTCAGTATGACTTGATGAGGATTTCTGATCCAAAGTATCAGGTACACAAAGATCTTGATAATTCAGGTCCTCTTTTATAGTGATCTGTTCCTGGATGTCATGGTCTTTATGACATTCAAGTACTTGACTTTCAGATCCAGGGCTCAAAGGTGGGTTACTATTTTCATGATGTTGCTCAGAAACAACGTTTTCAGGAGATAAAGTTTCAAATTTTGCTGTTAAGTCACCATGCTGGTTGTCCTTGTTATCTGGAATTTTGACATCAGTGATTTCATCAGATTCTATTTTATTGTCTTCAGGATCAAGGCATACATCTTCTAGGCCATTCACCTCTCTTTCCTCAATGCAGTCAGGATTTAATAAAGGAGAACTGATATCTGAATCCCCATTTTCATGTTTTCCATTTAAGAGTTTCAGATCAGCAGTCTTCAAAAAATCTTCTTTCACTTTATATACACTTTCAAGCTGTTGTCTGTCACTTGCTCGCATGGTTTTACGGGCCTTAAAAACTTTTTTTTGAGGTTCTTCACTGTTTTCCATCTTGATTCTTAAAAATAGTTTTAGGATAAAAAAGAAAAACAAGGAAAATCCATCAGTAAAAATCTAATATTAAGTACAACAGGTTTGTTATTGATTTACCAATGACTGTCACTGGACCTTGTGACTGGCACAGAATCTCTTTTTATTTCAGGAAGTTATTAAAATTTGATCATGAAAATAAAAGTACTGATGGCACCATATTGAAATCACATTACATAAATTGTCATCTTTCTAGTTCAATTGAGATAGCAAGTCTGTAAAAATTGGTAGAGATTACAGGTAGTCCTTGCTTAACAACCACAGTTAGGATCAGCAACTCTGTTGATAAGCAATGCAGTTAAGTGAGACATCACATGACTATGATGGATTTACAACTTCACTTCTGCTGCCAATTTACCCATTGGTGGTTAAGTGATTTGTGATTTTACTGCCGGATTCTCCATTGATTCTGCCTGTTGGAAGCCAGGTGTGAAACACGCAAATGGAACCACATGATTGCATGGTAAATGTGACTGGTTGTAAAGTTACTTTCTCAGTGCTCTCATAACTTCAAATAGTTGCTAAATAGGGCAGCTGTTAAATGAGGTCTACCTGTGCCTTCTCCAGTAGCAATGTCTAACTTGGAATCTTTTCAATAGGAACACCCACAAATCTTAAGAGATATGTCTTACCAAGAAGAAACAATTTCTGAAATTGTTCTGAAACAAGTTCTGAAACAGCTTTATTTTTGCTTTTTAAAGTTCTACAGTTCAGAACCATATAACAAATTAGGAGCTAGGACTAGGCAAGTACCATATTTTTCAGACTATAAGACACTCCAGACTATAAGACACACCTAGCTTTTGGGGAGGAAAACAAGAAAAAAAAAATCTGCCTCTGCCTCCTAGCAATTTGCCTCCTTGCAGCAAACAGGCTGGTCAGCTTCACCACAGCCTAATTTAGCACGAGCAGCTGATTGGCAGTTGGATCTGCCTCCTGGAATACTGCCTATCAGCTGTTCCAGGCTGCGGGGATTGCCACTGCCCATCACTGCTGCCACCTATTGCCACCTCCGCACATCCTATTTTTTTGCTTCCACACATTCCATTTTTTTGGCCTCTGCGTGCCCCATTTTTGGCCCATTCCAGGTGGCCAGGATAGGCAGCTGCGATCCCCGCTGCCTGGAATGGCCGAAAATGGGGCATGTGGAGGTAGCGATAGGCAGCAGCGTTGGCAATCTCTGCAGCCTGGAACAGCTGATAGGCGGTATTCCGGGAGGCAGATCCTGCCAATCAGCTGCTCATGCTAAATCGGGCTGTGCTGAAGCTGATCAGGCTGTTTGCTGCAAGGAAGCAAGTTGCTGGGAGGCAGAGGCCGAAGGGTGGGGCTGGCGGGTGGGTGGGCCTTCAACATTTGCTCTATAAGACGCACTCACTTTTTTTGGGGGGGAGTGTGTCTTAGATACCGAAAAATACGGTAAATCTTGCTTTGTTTTGCAAAAGCTTACATACAGTATTTGCCTATGCATAATACAATTCATTTCATAAATATTAAACATTTATGTCATCTACCAGAAGTAATTATTTAAATCACTGTCACTTTTACTTGATGAAAAGTTTTGTCAATACTGATGTAGTTTTCAGTGCAAGTAGTTTCTAAATGATACTCCAAAGTGTCCTTGCCTTCATAATTCAGAACTTTTCCTTCTCTTTCTTAATATTTTTTTTTGAAAAGCAAGTTCATTGCTATATGTCAACAAAGTTAGGTATTAGAATAGCTGCTCTGAATTAACCCATACTCATGAAGTAATATTAGTATTTAAAAAGGTTAACTGCTTTCCAGTTCAAATGTATTTTACCTGGCAACAGAGGAGACAGATCATGAAAAGACAACAATATACTGTATGAGACTTAAGACATGTTACAAGCATTTCAGAAGGCCATTTCTATTACAGTCTCAAAAGAAAAGTGTTTCCCTAACAAATATAACCCAGTTTAGAAAAAAATTATATAAGCAAATAATGTTTACTGTTAAGCCGTTTTGCATAAGTGTTGCCTGCAAGGTAATTAGGAAATCCTTGGCGTTGGTATCATGTTCTAGATGGACTATAGACTTCTGTTCTGAAACATGGCTCAGACATTGCTCAACAGTCCGTCAAAATGCAAATGCACACTTGTATAATGAATTCTGCATTGCTATGTCAAGAATACACAAGGAGAAATACACATTGATGTTTTGAAATAACAGGCAATTTTCATACACTTTCATAATCTTACTTTTGGTTAAGATTATATTTCTTCTTTCTTTAAAGTATTTGCTGGATTGCTTAAGTGTCTTAATAAATATTTGCTAATTTATGTACTCCATTTATGTCCTCAGCAAATTAACAAAAATTCTACACTTAAAAAAATTACATTATATTACACACAAGCTGAATTATATCTGTATTAAAAGGCAGTGCTCACATTCTTTGTTTTAGTTCCCCATTTTATTAAGAAAAAGTAAAAACTATAAGTCGTGAATAAGACTTCAAGAATTATAATTTGTATAATGGTTGCCACTTAGACTAAGCATAAAACAGGAGGAATAATGGTAGGTAACAACAGCAATAATATTCCTTCTATTTTTTTGAGTTCTTGCAGTATCAGAAGCATACTCAAGAGGGAGTTAGAAGTACTCACAAATTTGTGTGACTTATCATACAGGAAAAAATTAGCAGCTGTGCTTTGTTGTTACCAAGCCGTTTCCTGTGAAAATTTTATCTTACACTATTGGCTCGAGAATGCTAATCCTGACCCACCAGTTAAGAACATGAAATCTCAGTTCTGCCCAGCAACAAGAAAATCAAATAAAACTGAACATTTAGACATTGCCTGAAAAAAAATATAATTGCTGAATATTTAGAAAATGTATAATCTTTTGCAGTATTTTGAAATATCCTTCTTCAATATATAATGTTAAGGGTAATTGTAGCAGTAAGATTGGAAATTGTTGAAGTTTCCAAATAACAGGTTATGAAACTGAATCTAGTTCTGAATTTTTTGATTTCAGTATCAAATAGTATACATTTCCTTTAACCAACACAAAAATAAACTACTTGCATTCTGTGTTAGTTTCCGAGTAACTACCATAAAACCATAAAATCTTTTAGATAATTGCTAAAGCGCTAATACACAATTACAAGCTACTATAAAGCCTATGCAAATCAACTGTGCTATATTAATCAGTTGTGGTTTAGTGCTATTGTTATTATTGGCATATTCTCTCAAATACTTTTTCAATTTATACTTTTAGTTTGCTAACCATCTTTATTTCCTATAGTTTGGATTTCCTATATTTGGATTTTAAATAAATCACCATCTCAGCAGGACATTTGCTTGGTTGCATAAGCATTCCTTTGGTTTTATAAAGATGATAAATAGCCTTCAGGGTAGTATAATGGGAACCTGTGTTAGTATAGTAATCAAAGCATGAGTTCTTAAATTTGTAATACAATTTCCTAAAATGATAAATGACTACATGCAACCCCACTCATGAATAAAGCCAAAAGAAATAGATTTCTTGTGAATGATTTAGACATCTCTCAAAACTTGTTCCAAATTTTGCTGTTGTTTAAGGCTTGCCCAAGCATAACAGGAAATTTTGACAATGCTCTCTTACTGTGCCTCCATTAAGAAACCTATTTTAAAGCAGCAAATAAATATTTGATACTAAAATCGCATTTGTTTTTAACTAAGGTGACAATAAGCCTATCAAAAGCAAATACGCAAAACTACGCATATTTACATTTTAGCTGCTCTTATGTTTAACTTTATAATTATATTTGATATCTTATCTTTTTATGCCACCAAGTGTCACCCTTTGGAAACACAAGGGAAATTACATAGAAATACATCAAAATTCAAAATTTCTGTATTAAAAAAGTAGCATTTATAAACCTCCAGAAAGCAATGATACATTATAGTACAAGACACATTTTTAAACTTAAATTTTTCTACTGATTTTCCAGAAAATTGTTGACTGTTTTTTGAGAAGATTTCATTGATAGAAATGAAATACATCTGCTTGTATGTGCACAACCACAAACAATACTGGCTTATACCAAGCCCTGTACAAAATAATAAATGTGGATCAAATAGATACAGTTCAATTTTGGGAGACTTCACAAATCAAAATTTGGTTACAGTACAGATTTATCTCCCCTCACCATGGACCCAATTAACCTACAGATTTACCTTTGGCATTTATTTGCCATTTAAAAATGACAATATCTTTTCTGAGTATATAAAAACATGTCCTAACAAGAAGCCCCTGAAGCCATGCTGCCATATTATCAGCAAGCCTAATAAGAGAATCTATACATAAACAAGACATAACAAGTCTGATGTCAGACAAATTACTGAATATTAGTGCAATTCCATTGGTTGGCAACTAAAGACTGGTTTGTACAAGCCCAGCAGTACTAGAGGCTGAGAATCAGCAGGAAGCAGGAAAAGATCTGCCTGGCAACAAGGCTAAAAATAGCACACCTCCTAAGCATTAGCACTACTGTGTGAAATCAGCAGAGCTTCATGAAATCTTCCTGCCTCTATCCATATGCACAATGGAGTGCTCTTGATAACAAAGTTTAACTATTATGCTGTCCCACAACAGAGCCAGATTAGCACATACGAGTTAAGCATGTAACTATTTTTCATGCAGTCTTCTTTACGCATAGAACACATTTTGCCTATTATTTCTTTTTAGTCTTAAAAGACAGGAAATATAACTCTATTAGAAATAGTTAAATTCAACTGTAAATTTTTAAAAATATGATTATTCTGTTTTCATCCACCATTAACTATACATATAATGCTAAAAATATATACCTACTTATAATTTCATAGGGAAGCATTTGACAGGGTTGACTAAAAATATTAAACATCTGCAAAATTGCCCATTTTTTCATTTAATAAAACCCCAATGCTTTTGAGAAACCTTAGTGGAAAGAGACCCTTGCCTTCCATGATGCATAATAATTCGTACCTC